CCTTATCAGAAGCTCAGTGTCCCCTAAGCATTTTGCCAAAGCATTTTGTCATCTTCTTTCCTCTTTGCTTCCCAGCTGCCCTGGTAACCACTAATTGTTCTCTATACAGTTGCGTATTCTAACTATTTGGTATAAGTGGTATTATACAATATTTGTCATTTTGTTACTGACTTACTTCACTCAGAATAATGTTTTCAAGGTTCATCTATGTTGTCGCATTGACAGGACTTCATCTCTCTTTATGGTTGAAAAATATTTCATTGTATGTATGTGCCACATTTTGTTTATACATTCATCTTCAACATTTATCTCTTTAGGGGACACAATTCAACCCATAACAGATTTCTACCTGGAAATCAGGTATATTGGTCTGTGGTTCAGGAGAGCTGGATCTGTACATGTGGGCATTATCAATATTAGGTAATGGTGGAGAACTACAAGGGTGGATGATATCATAGAAGAAGAGGATGTAAAGTGAGTAGATAAGTTGTTGTTGTTATGTGCTGTTGAGTCAGTTTTGACTCATAGTGACCCTATGTACAACAGAACAAAACACTGCCTAGTCCTGCGCCATCCTCATAATCGTTGGTATGCTTGAGCCCATCGTTGCAGCCACCGTGTCAATCCATCTCAATGAGGATCTTCCTCTTTTTCACTGACCCTCTACCAAGCATGATGTCCTTCTCCAGGGACTGATCCCTCCTGATAATATGTCCAAAGTATGTGAGACGTAGTCTTGCCATGCTTGCTTCCAAGGAGCATTCTGGTTGTACTTCTTCCAAGACAGATTTGTTCGTTCTTTTGACAGTGCATGGTATATACAGTATTCTTTGACAACACAATTCAAAGGCGTGAATTCTTCTTTAGTCTTCCTTATTAATCATCCAGTTTTTACATACATATGAGACAATTAAAAACACCATGGCTTGGGTCAGGCGCACCTTAGTCTTCAGGGTGACATCTTTGCTTTTCAACTCTTTAAAGATATCTTTTGCAGCAGATTTGCCTAAAGCAGTGTATCTTTTGATTTCTTGACTGCTGCTTCCATGGGTGTTGATTGTGGATCCAAGTAAAATGAAATCCTTGACAACTTCAGTCTTTTTGCGGTTTATCATGATGTTGCTTATTGGTCCAGTTGTGAGGATTTTTGTTTTCTTTATGTTGAGGTGTAACCCATGCTGAAGGCTGTAGTCTTTGATCTTCATCAGTAAGTGCTTCAAGTCCTCTTCACTTTCAGCAAGCAAGGATGTATCATCTGCATAATGCAAGTTATTAATGAGTCTTCCTCCAATCTGGATGCCCTGTTCTTCATATAGTTCAGCTTCTCAGATTATTTATTCAGCATAGAGATTGAATAGATGTGGTGAAAGGATACAACCCTGACGCACACCTTTCCTGACTTTAAACCACGTGGTATCCCCTTGTTCTGTCTGAACAACTGCCTCTTAATCTATGTACAGGTTCTACATGAGCACAATTAAGTGTTCTGGAATTCCCATTCTTCGAAATGTTATACATAATTTGTTATGATCCACACAGTCGAATGCCTTTTCATAGTCAATAAAACACAGGTAAACATCTTTCTGGTATTCTCTGCTTTCAGCCAGGATCCATCTGACATCAGCAATGATATCCTTGATTCCACGTCCTCTTCTGAATCTGGCTTGAATTTCTTGCAGTTCCCTGTCGATATACTGCTGCAGCTGCTTTTGAATGATCTTCAGCAATATTTTACTTGCATGTGATATTAATGATATTGTTTGGTAATTTCCACATTTGGTTGGATCGCCTTTCTTGGGAATAGAAAAGTAGCCTAAGGAAAAGCCCAGTGTGTATGATGGGGCTGAGTTAGGAAAGACCATAGATAAATCAGAAGTATGGGTCAGTGGGAGCGATGGAGTAGAAGAGGTGAGAAGATAGGATGGGAAGCTGTGGGCAGAGATAGATAAAAAGCAGAGCAAATATAAACATATCCCAGGACAAACCATTCATTGCTTGCTTGTTATTTTTCAGTTTTTGATTGCCAATATCAACTATTTTGCATTTGATATATTTAAAAATTAATTTGCTGAAATTGGTTTGCCATCTTGTGAACGGTGTTTTGGGTGACAGGTTTTCATGTATTCATTTTCCAAGAGAAAAACGATGGTGTAGGAAAAGACTAAAGTAATTCATATTCCTGTAATTATAAAAATGTACTCTTAGAAGAATAACTGAATACAGTCTTGCTAACTTCCAAGTCTTTGTACTTCTCTCCCTGGTTAGAAATATTTAAAGTCTGTTTTAAAGAAAGAAACATGAATATAACAGATTAATAGTGACCACAAAGAAAGAAAAATTACTTTCCTTATCTCTCTAAAAAACAAATTCTTTCAGTGGATGCAGCTTTTTTTTTTTTTTTTAATGTCTTTTTAGATAAGACACTGCAAATGAAAACTCTTGAAATATATACTCTCTGAGGGTTGTTCCCTTTGTGTCTGTGGTCCTTTTGGATGTCTTTTACAGGAAGATGCTGTGGAAGGAGATGATACTGGTACATAAAAATCCCGCTGCTGTCAAGTCGATTCCAACTCATAGCGACCCTACAGGACAGAGTAGAACTGCCTCATAGGGTTTCCAAGGCTGTAAATCTTTACAGAAGCAGATTGCCACATCTTCCTCCTGTGAAGCAGCTGCTGGGTTTGAAACACCAGCCTTTTGGTTCTCAGCTGAGCACTTTAACCACAGTACCACCAGGGCTCCTTGGTGCATATTAGGTACAAAATTTAGTGGCTTAAGACAACCAACAATTGTTATCTCGTGGTTACTGTGGGTTAGGAATTCAGAACCATCTTACCTGCGTGCTTCTGGTGAAGGGTCTCTCATGAGGTTGCTATCAAGATGCAGCTGGAGCTGCAACCATCGGAAGGCTTGACTGGGAATGAAGGATCTCCTTCCCAGCTCACTCACATGGCTGGATGTTAGCAATCTAATGAAGAGGAGTCTCGGCTCCTCACCAAGTAAGACTCTTATGGGGCTGCTTGAGTGTCCTCATGACATGGCAGCCGGCTTCCTCCAGAGCAAGTGATCTGAGAGAACAAGAAGGAAGCCACAATACCTTCTATAACCTTGCCTTGGAAGTCTAACACCACCACTCCTGCCACATTCTATTCATTAGAGTCACTGAGTACAGTCAACACTCAAGGGTAGCTAATTAGGTTCCATCCTGCCCCTCCCCTCCCCTCCTCCTGTCCTTTGCCCTTGCCTCTGTCCTCCCTCCATCCTTCTCTACCCCTGTTTCACCTGGTTTACTTATCTTAACAAGGGAACCTAATCTTTTGCATGCTTGGGTTGTTGTGAAAATAAAGTGAGATAAATAGTATGAAAAGGTGCTTTGGGAAAGAGAGTTTAGAAAGACTTTACATAGCACCATATAACATAACTGTGCAGAAAGGAGGCAGAACCATTTAGCTTTCTGCTCTTGCATCTGAAGAAGCATTCTAGCTTACAGAGTCACTGTTTAGTCAGAGTGCATGGTTGTTTGATGGGCTTTCTCTGAGCAATAATCTGCTCTGTGTGTAGGAGCTGGGACTTGGGTTCTTCCTTCTTCCCTCGGAGGCAGCACCACTTATCTCTTCAGAAGCAACAAAGTTAGGACCACGTGTTCCTTGCTAGATTGGCATGGTAGCTCTGTGAGGTCCGCCTTAGTGGTGTTGTCCGTAGTGATTATTTCTTCACAACTAAAGTGGTATTTGGACTGGTTTCCCAGTCAGACTCCTGACCACACTCCTACAGCAGCCCACCCCAGCCCCACATTTCTGGATCTGGGGTGTCAGGGCCTCTGTAAGCACCAGATGGTTGGGATTTACAGTGCTGTTGCATACTTATTCTTTTTTCTACCTGAGTCTTTTTTCTCCAGATGACTCTAAGACCACTGTGATTGAAGTTAATTCAGTGGTCCATACTAGGTAGAGAGTCAGTGGTATTAGGAAAATTCATCCTGGTTTATTCATGGGGTCATTTCCACCATCACTACCCCAAATGCATCCCCCTATCAACATACTTTAGAACTTTCTTCGCTCCCCATGTTCCTTGCCTAGTATATTTAGAAAGATGGTTTTAAATGCAAGTAACCAAATGTTTAGCCACAAAAGGCACCAACTCTCAGAAGTTACACAAGTAGAGGAGAGGAAAGTGAAATATTGCTCTCACTTCAACCCTATGGTGTAATTCATTACATTCCATACATTTGGATGGCTCTCTTAGCTGGAAATCTGGAGGTGAAGGCTGCTGAAATTTCTTTAACTGCCAAGTCCTCCCTTCTATTTGCATACCCATCATTGCTTATGGGGCTTGAGGAGTAATGTCTTCCGTCAAGAATTAAGAGAGCCATCAGAGATTTGGGAATTGGGAGTTCGGAAACACAGTTTTATTTTGTCATTATTGGGGTTTTGAAAGCCATGCTAATTCTAACCCCTCTATTGCCATGAGTTCCTAGTTTATCAGAAGTTAAGAGATGTACATCAAATCAAACAGAGGGACAAGAGTTTGCTTAGTGAAGCCTGTCTTGACTTCAGTATGGCAACTCACTGGGAATACAAAATGGAACTTCTGGTTGAACCTTTGCCATAATTTACAGGGAACTCCGATAGTACTTAGTCTTACTCCTAATGAGCCTAGGTGACTGTGTCTGATTGCCACCGATGACCAAGGTGTCCTCATTAGGATCTGTGCTATATTTAGTTAAGCTGGAAATCTGTGCCCTTAATTTAATCACAAACCAGGTAGCCATGGAGATGATATCAAGCCTCTGGCTGCCCTGTAAACCATGTGCAAATGATGAAAATAAAATAAACATGATATGGAAATTGACTTCCTAAGTAAATAAAAGACTTTGCCTCCAGGTCTTCTGATTAACAACTTTTGGTCCACTGATGTTTGTTAGAATTCACAGTGATTTCAAAAATATCATAGTCACAACCTTTGTCTCAATGCTTGTTTTTTTGTTTGTTTTGTTTCAGATATATCAACACTCCTACACTGGATATTATGTTCTGAGCAAAATTCCTCATGGGTAAGATTCTTCTTTCATTTTATTTTAATGAGAAAACTTCAGAACAAGGTGAAGGGTAGAAAGTTGACCGCTTGTTTTAACGCTTAGAGCAGGAAATGGGGCATTTTGACTTTTGACAGTCAGGTTCCTGACATTGCCAGAACCCATGTGACTCACCCTGATAGTTGCACTAAGGGCATCAGAGGTCACTTAAGTCCAGTTACTTACCCATTTATTAGACCTCCTCCCAGAAACCACTCTGTTCACCTCCTGCTCTGGTTCCTGAGACTTACCCAGTATGTTCTGTAGAGCAAGGTTTTTCCTGTTCTTTGTAGCCAGGTGTGGTCCCATCTCGGGCATGGTAGATTGGCCCTAAGAAGCCCAGGATGGTTCCTGGTTATATATGTAACAAAGAGGGTGGCTGCACTAATACAGTGGAAATCCCCCTCATTCTACCGCATGTCTTCAAAGAAAACCCCAGAAAGTACTGATAGGATTGAGGTAAACTACTCTGATCATAAATTTAGCAGTAGCATTGTGAAAGGGGTCAGCATGAGGGGATGCAGCCATCGCTAGTGGTACAAACAGCAGTGCCTACTCACCCTTCCCCCCAGTGGGATTACCAGTGGTATATGTATTGGTGTTTATGACCCTGTCTGAGCTTAGGTGTGCTCACAAGAGCAGGGTATTGGTGCTCGTCTTCTATTGTACCTCCAGCTTCATGCTACATCAAAACCTCAGACTGTAGCCCTAAACTCATCCAGGCTCTCAAAAATGCATGATTTGGAACCCAAAACGTGTGTGGGAAGGAAAGGCATGAGAGCCATTTCCTTCCTACACACTTGTTTTTAAGTTTCCAGTGCTAGATAGATACTCACACACAACACTGAGATGTATTTCAGTAGCTTCATATTTGGAACCAAAATGCAGTAAAGACGCCAATTAAAATTTGGAGAAGCCATTGGTTGAGTCAGACACAGATGAAAAAGTACTGCCGAATGGGGCGAGTCGAGCAGGGATGGTTGTAGTGGTTGTTGGTTTTCTTCTCTTTCTTCCTTCCTTCTTCCAACCTCCATCTCCTCTCTTCGTCTCCCTCATTCTCCCATCTTTCCCCCCTCCTTGTTCTTCCCTCTTCCTTTGTCTCCTCCATTGTTTCTATCAACATATTTTGAAAAGTTTAGGAGCTCAGGAAAGGTTTAGAGAAATTGAATCGTGCTGCTGGCAATGTTGTGTACGTTCCTGTGAATATTTAGAGTGAGATGTCCTAATTTTCCCAAGCAAGTTTAAACAGACAGCAGGGGTTGCTGACACCTGTGGTTCCGTAGGTGGGCGTTAATCACATCATGAGTGCTTATGGCTGCTGCTGTCTGTTTTCGACTAAGTTTTGGTAACATATGGACATATCCTTGGAAAATAAACATGAAGAAAATAATTACATTTGGACTTCAGACAGGTGAAGGTGCATGTAGATATGCAGCAGGATGTGATTAACAGCCTCAGTTAGACTAATAGAAGACTCAAGCTCGAAGACAGTGAAGATTGGGTACTGCAGTAAAAATAAAGTATCAATAGGAATTTTTCATTAAAACCATATTTCAAATAGAAGCTCAAATGCTCTTGACTAAAGAGGAATTATTCTATTATTTTTCAAGCAGATATGCATCTTCAAAGGTCATGGCCAGCAGGAATAAAATTATGCCTTGAGATTTATCTACCCCTTCTGGGAATAATAGAATTTATTGTAGATGATGGGTGTTTCATTCCATCTTATATAAATTTGTACAACTCTACACTGTAAAAACAGTTTATGACTAACATATTGTGTTGATATTTTACTGCCTCAGTCATAATTTAAGAGGGAGAGATTCTTAGATCCTGGACAAGAGTTTGGCCGATAAGCTGGTAAATGTAAGAATAAGATTATCTGTATTGAGACTCTTTCTGTGCTCAGATATCTAGAGCCTCATCATAGTCTCCCTCATAGATGATGCCAGTGTATAATAAGCTGCTTTTAATATTTTTAAAATTGTGGTAGTCACAATTGCCAACATGTGGAAACAATCAGCAGATGAAAGAATGGATAAGCAGAATGTCAGCCATAAAGAGAAATGAAACCCCGATGCATGCCGCACTGAGGATGAAACTTGACAACATTATGCTGAGAGAAATCAGTCAGTAACAAAAGGACAAGTATTGTATGATCCCACTTGTATGAAATACCTAGAACAGGCAACTGTGTGCAGACAAAAATCTGTTAGTGGTTTCAAGGGGCTGGGGGGAAGGAAATAGGAGTTATTGCTGAAGGAGTTGGAGTTTCTGTTTTGGGTGATGGAAGACTTTTGGAAATGAATGGTGGTGATGATAGCACATGTTGAGTGAAATTAATGTCACTGAACTGTACACTTAAAAATGATTAAAATGGCAAATTTTTGTCATATATGTTTTACCATGATAAATTTTGTTTAAATAATGGTAGTGTTAATAATTGGCACGTTTTTGTACTTTCATGCACATTCAACCCCTGAACAACAGCCCTCAAGAAAAATATTCTTACCCCTGTTATACAGTGAGAGTTCTGAGGCTCCCTAACTTCTCCAGCCCCTCCTAGCTAGTATATAGGGGAGCTGAAATTCAAACCCAAGTCTGGTCGACTCCAAATCCCATGCTCTTCAAACAACCCCTTTGGATTATTTCAAATTTAGATCAAATTTGACTCTCATACAGTTGAAAGATGTAGCAGATTACTTGTTATAGTTGCCTGTACTAGTGGAAAACAAGCTCTGGCAGATGGCAAAGTCAGTGCCCCAGCCCATCCCCATACGAACCAACACAGCACCTCTAAAGACGGCCTTTCTTGACCTCCACAGCCCCTAGCCATTCCTCTTTGTCATGAGATCATTTATGGCAAGATAACCAATTAATTTCAAATATTGCAAAAATCTCATTTGTATTAATGAGGTAGTGGATTTCTGACACTGACGACCCTTTAGGCCTGGAGATTTTGCACCTTCAACCTTTGAAAGGAGCATAATGACCTCTCAAGAGTCAGTTGTGTAAGTGCACTGCCCCCAAGTGGCAGGAGAATGGCACTGCCTAGCGTTTAAAGGCTCTAGGTGGCTTTTAGATAAAGAAAAGCACAATTGTCTTTTAAAAATAAATCTCTATTAGAATATTTAAATTTATAATAATCATAATACAAGAAAAGTGAGAACCTTTCTTGAAACTTTTAAAGACACAGATCAGTACCCTTTTCACAAATTCTCAGTTTTTCTTTTTCTTACTCCCCTAAATTCTCCATTTTGAGCCAGAGGCCATCTAACCTTCAGGATGGGATTATCTATCATTCAAAACTTGATTTTTTTCTTAACTGCAAGCTTTCCAACCACTCACTGAGAAGAACTGAATTTAATTAGTCAATAGTGTCTGGTTTCTGGTTTCCTTTCTCTTTGTAAATGGCAGAGGACAATTTGGAAAGGGTGTGCCCCTCTTTGCTGTCTCTCTTCCACTTCTCAGAAAAAGGTGCTCCCCCACCCCGTTCTTTGTTCCTTTGGCTTCCCTCCTCATATTGTTTTGGCCTCTGATACTGGAGCCAGGTAGAATTCTTTCTGCATGTCCTGGCCGGAGTTATAACGAGAATCCCAAGATAGCTGAATTTTTATTTGTTGAAGGAGTGTTTATTTAGTACACAGGGCTATGTTTACAATGTCCCGCTGTTATCCACAAGGTTTTCACTGACCAGTTTTTTCAGAAGTAGGTCACCAGGTCCTTCTTCCCAGTCTTTCTTAGTCTGGAAGTTCCATGAAACCTGTCCACCATGGGTGACCCTGCTGGTATTTGAAATACTCATGGCACAGCTTCCAGCATCACAGAAACATGCAAGCCACCACAGTATGACAAACTAACAGGCAAGTGGTGACTATGCCACTAGGTTATGCCAAGAAATTTGGAAGATTAATACCTGGCCACCCTACTGGAAGAGATCCATATTCATGCCCATTCCAAAGAAAGGTGAGCCAACAGAATGTGGAAATTATGGAACAATATCATATGCAAGTGAAATTATGCTCAACATAATTCAAAAACAGTTGCAGCAGTACATCAACAGGGAACTTTCAGAAAGCGGCTAACACTGCGAAGAATGGGAATTCCTGAATACTTAATCGTGCTCGTGAGGAACCTGTACATGGATAAAGAGGCAGTTGTTAGAACAGAACAAAGTGATACTGTGTGATTTAAAGTCAGGAAAGGTATGTGTCAGGGTTGTATCCTTTCATCATACTTATTCAATCTGTATGCTGAGCAAATAGTCCAAGAGCTGGACTATGTGAAAAAGAATGGGGCATCAGGATTGGAGGAGGATCCATTAACAACCTGTGACATGCAGATGACACAGTCTTGCTTGCTGGAAGTGAAGAGGACTTGAAGCACTTACTGATGAAGATCAAAGACTATAGCCTTCAGTATGGATTACACCTCAACATAAAGAAAACAAAAATCCTCACAACCGGGCCAATAAGCAACATCATGATAAACAGAGAAAGATTGAAGTTGTCAAGAATTTCATTTTACTTGGATCCACAATCATCGCCCACAGAAGCAGAAGTCAAGAAATCAAACGATGTATTTCATTTGGCAAATCTGCTGCAAAAGACCTCTTTAAAGTGTTAAAAAGCAAAGATGTCACCTTAAGCACTAAGGTGCACCTGACCCAAGCCATGGTATTTTCAATAACCTCATATGCATGCAAAAGTTGGACAATGAATAAGGAAGACTGAATAAGAATTGATGCCTTTGAATTATGGTATTGGCAAAGAATACTG